AATCAAAAAAGAAACATATACAGGGACATGAAACGATCGTGATAGTTGAAGAAGTTCCTATGTAGAAAAACTGCCCTTCCGTGTAAGGCAGTAGGTCTTCGATCAGTACATGATTCTGGGGCGAAGATGTGAATACCAGGCACGGATCCTAAGCATGACTGCCGTTCAGGAACTATGGACTACGCAATGTAGCCTGGCAAGGCGTATTTTGTGCATAACAGGGACATAGGAAGATAAATGAGTAACATGCAGTCTCTGATGTCAGATGTCACTGCATGAGCAAAATGTTGAAACGACAATCAGCTGCAGATGTCTCAGGAAGAATGCACAATTGCTAAACAAGACTGAGTTCTAAGAGACATTATAAACTGTTCCTGGTCTTCTGATCGATGGCAAATTGAGCTCAATAGACCTGTGCGAACAACGAAGACATAATTCGAAGACAAAGCAGATATTTTAGCATTTTTTGGGGAGTCCTTCACCCAGCTGTGGTTGGAAAATGACTGACGAGAATGAGTGATTATTGTTGCTAGTTTTGCTATTTTCAATTTATTTTATTGGTAAGGTTCATGCTACTCATTTTAACCATGCAGTCAGTCAGTCAGTTTCGAGGACCGTTTGTCCTATCGAGTTGCGGATGCAGATGCGTCAATCATTGCTTCCAATGTTCCCGATCCTGCGCCAGTGTTTGAGTTTCGACAGCGAATAATCCATGTCTAGAGCAGGGTCCTCTCTTCTTGACCTTCCATTGAGTTTTCGTGATGTAGAGTGAGAAAGTAGTGATTGCTTCGCCTTCTCTTCTGGAGGCAAAGCATGCCCAACCCATCGCAGCTGTGACTTCTCAATCCGTGTTCCAAAGCTCTCTCCGGACTACGTTGAAACACGTGAGCCCAGTGATTCGGTCACAAAGGCAATTGCAACCGTTTTCACTTAGGAACATGACTCACGACCGTAGGTGAGTGTTGAGATGAACATCGATTTGAACACACACCGCTAAGTCTCTTAACTCAACAATGCTGTTGGCCATTCCGATTCGCTGTTCGATCTTTTCCTCATCTATTCTATCACCAGTCGTATCGACCTCGGCGTATGTGAACTTCTCCACCTGTTCCACTGTTTGTGAGTTTTTCCGTGGAGCGCAACGAGCAGGGGAACGAGTATGCACTAGAGTTCTTGTTTTGAAAACACTCACGCCCACGCTGCGAAGTTTTCCAGAGAACGCAGGAGGTCAGTTTTAAAAGATGTCAACAAGACAAGGTCGCACGTTAACAGCCTTCTCAACTCCACATCTCATTTGTTGAAACACTCGTCGCCTGGCTATGTTGTCAGTGTACATACAAAAGGAGAGGGGGACAGAAGATAGGTACCTTTGCTGCTCCTCTAATTTAAATTTTGCTCCAAAATTCACTGTTTTTGTTTTTGCGTTAACACCATTACTTTATTTTCGGTTGCATAGTCTGTAGTTATATTACTACTGTAGATTCCCATGTCCGTTACTTCGAATTTGTATTTAATGCTGTTATCTCTAAGCGATCGAGAAAAATATTAAGCATAGGGTTGCTTATTCGCAATTGACAACTCTGTCCTTCCGGATCTTACCTAACGTTTTGCTGTTTGTCAATGCAAATTAAATTGTATCCAGGGTTTAGGCACTCCACAGTACATTTTCTGAGGGACTGAAACGTAAGGCAGTTAAAGACAGTTAGCTGTTTATTTTTTGCCAATTTCAATTTGCTTTTTTTTTAAAATTAATAGCGACGCACAATTGAGAGACTTTCTGTGTTAGAGTTTTGACAGAAGCAAAAAGGGGCTAGGCTTTCTGCTCATTATCACACTCACTGAGCAATTATCACACCACGTGAATCAAAGGAAATTGCGGCTGTATGATTCCTTCGAATCAGACTGCATGGTCGTACCTCTCGTCTAATTTGCCGTAGCCTCGCCAGAAAACCGGGCTGCCCCTGCTGTTCGCAAGACAGGGCAGTGACTTCCTGGCGGCACCGAAGCAGCATGAATGAAACTCCTTACTCAAGGGAATTCACGCTTGAGACGAAGATCGTCCCTTCACCGTACTGGAACCAGCACCTTCGGAGTACGACGTCGACCTCACTTTGCCAGTGTGTCATCGCGCCACCATTACTACCACAATTTTGAGGTTGTCCTCGGGCAATACAGCAAGCAAACACAGTCTCCAAGACTCTACAGATGAGTTCGATCCCCTGTTGTCCGCATTCCGCAGTTCCTCATGAAGGGCTTCCAAGGGACACAACTTAATAACAAGTTTAGAAACTTCTACGTACTCCTGTCATGACACCACCGATTCTATCCGTTGTTTTTGCACAG